AACATATGGGTACACCTTTTGAGACCTAATTATGAGATTTTGTAAGCCTTGAAATGTTTATTTTAGTTCTTTTTTTTATTTTTAGAGTTGATTTTTTGCTCAATTTATTCATGAATTTTTACTAGTATTAATTTAGACAAAAAAACAGACTTAATAAAACCGACCTTATTATATTCAAATAATTCTTTGGTTTTGTTTAATGCTTTATTTATAAAATTTTTTCACCAGCTTATAGAGCATGCTAGATTATATTTTAAGTATATTTCCACCTGCTTTTATGGGTATCATAAGTAGGATAATAAAAGGTTCTTGTTAAATTTATTTTTCTTATGGATTTGATATTTCCTTGTACAATTAGGTTTTATGGAACTATGTAGTGTACGTTTTGCAAATTGTTTTCACCGGTAAGTTCTAGATATGTTTTCCCATTTATTAACTAATTTCTCAAATTTTTTTAAGCCATATATTTAAATATACAAAAAGTTTTTTTAAAATAGTACATACTTAATAAATCTTAAAGCATGGAGAGATTTATACCACTCATTAAATATTAACAAAATAATAAAAAATATTTTATAAGAAAATCCTAAAATACTACAGGACTGCATTTCTCATGTTTTTTTCATTCTCCAAATCGTAAAGCATGGAGAGAGAATTTTAGAGAGAAATCCATTTCGGGGACCTTAGAGCCGATTACATGCATCAGGTCAGTTGGGAAAATTGTCGAACTTTGGGCAGGCGATTATTACGCAACTTCAGATTTCAATTTTGTCATTTTTCTTTTTGTAAGGTTTTGGAAATTTATTTGATAAAATTTCATACAAATTTAAATCTATAGAGATTTACATAATTTTTTCTACACAATTTTTTCTATATTTTATATTAGACTCTATTGCATAAATAGATAAAAAAATATTAAGTTTTTATGAAATATTTTGTGTATTTTAGCGCGTATGTTAAACCTGATAAATTTGTTGTGGAACAAGAAAAGCTTGAAATATTAATATGAACAATGCATATAAAAATTTTTATTAATTATTATCATCGATATATGCAAATTTATTTCCTCCATAAATTGCATTATTAATTGTGTTCACTGGTTTGTACCGATTTCTGCAGCATATTGTGATATTTAATGTCAAAATTGATAGCATTTATATATTTTATATAAAAAATGTGTCAAAAATGATAAAAATAGGGGAAATCCAGATGATTATGGTTGGAATGTTGTATGTTATGTGTAATCAAGTGGAGTTATAAAATTTTTTGCACCTATATAATTATACATTTGTTTGTTTGATACGCTTGGATAGATATAAGTAAAAGTTGAGTTATAATGAACATAAGAGAAATATAAAATGTGAAGGTATAAGTGAAAGTGGAGTGTAAGGGACCAAAGAGAAAATTTTAAAATAATTTAAATTAAGAAATTGATTTTGATTTTCATGTTAATTTAATGCTTTATGATGTCATGTTAGTTATATTATTACTCAGTATATGTCTACTATGGTTAAAATTTCTAATACTGGTCCTGCAATAGATACTACACATGATGTTTTGGTGCGTTGAATTTATTTACATCGAATATGTCTATTTTTTGTATATATTAAAAATTGTGGTAGATTTTGAGTAGCCTACTGAGCTGTGATTGCTCATCCTTCATTTGCTTGCATGTGTTATTTCATGGAAGGATAAGGCTTAGGTTGAATAAAGATTTATGTGTTATTATTGAGAGCCTATATTGGGTATTAATCATCTTAGATTAACATTTTTTATTTTCGTGGTGACGTTTGTATTTTCTTGATAAAGAGATTAAATCATGATTATTATATATGATCTGAATGAATTTTTGTCTTATAATACTTGATGATATTAGAGACTTTGTGTTTATAAAAATTGAAGAAAAAAAAAAGTAAATCAGATTCCTTCCAATAGAACTTGGGAAATAATTTAATTGTTGTGACTTCAACACAAGGCAACTTGCCTCGAAATGACAAGTTGTTGCAGTTGAGTCGTAACAATGTATGTAAATCTTCCAAATTTTTATGCAATTAAAATGTAGAAGTTACTATACGCAGTCTGAAAAAATTATAGAGCAAATACTATTTGACGCATGATGAGAATACTATTTTTTGCATGAAAACTCTCGGAGGGGCCAAGGGGAGGTGATGCCAACAACATGAGATTTTTCAGCTCAAAAGGAGAAGAAAAGCTGAAACTACAAACCAAAAAAATTATTTTTGAGATGAAAATTGAGAATAATGGCGAGGGTTCTTTGAAGTTCTAGAGATTAAGAACAACTAATTCATGGAATTAAAATGTTGGTCTCTTTTTTTGGGTGGTTCTTCTGCATTCTATGCAAAGGAATCCTTTTATTTTTAAAGAATGGGTGTCAGCTATGACTTGAGATATTAGTGTTTCGAAGAATGTGCGTCATTCTATGTTGTTCCAAAAGTTCAAATAATACTTGGTCACTCCACATAAATAGCCACCCATTTTCCCCCACAACTTTATCAAAGATGTAAATTTTAAGCATACAATTCTCAAAATAAAATCAATATCATAGCAAGTGAATTCAAATGATCAAACTAAAAAAATTTTATCAAAAGGGAATGAGTAATGTTTGATGAGGTATCAATACCAGTATATTATGGTTAAGAATGACCTATAGTGTTCAATATGTGTCAGATTGGGCATGAAGAGCTGAATGTATGTTTTTATTAATCGAGTGATTAGTTTAATTAAAATGAAACCAGTATATTATAGTTAAGGCTTTGACCAAACATTCACCTTAATGGGTAAAGCTTAGTATGAGTTGTTGGTAATAGAACTCGCTTCATAGAGAAAAATACTTCTATTATCCACGATTGATCATGCTATTCATCCCGTTAATAAGCTTTGCCCCATACCTATGAGCTCCCTTAGATAAAGCAACTCATGAAACCAATAAGAGGTTCTCAAATCATAATAGATTCAAGAATGATTATCAATCATATATCTTGATAAAGTTTGTCATAATTATCCCAACATCCATAAGCAATGACCTTTTCATGCCATACTATTATAGAAGGCCTAATCAGACAAGAAGCCTTCATAACAAACATCTAGAGCCTAAAGAACAGTTTTAATCAAAATTCATCTCTCACGATTGAGATGTGTAATTAATCATAAGGCTTGTACATACGAAAGGTCTTGAACAAGAAAATCTTCCTTCAATGAGGATAAAATATTTAGAGCATTTTATTAACTAATTAATTTGCTTTCTCAAAACTCATCTCGTTCTATACTCTTTAAATAAAAGTATTTTTAGAGCCCATAATTATATAGTTGCTTATCCATGCACAATCATAATTGGTACACTAAGAAATAAGCTTAGTTATCCGTTGCCCAAATGTGCCTATTGGCAGAGGAATAGGAATAAGGTAGTGAGGGGTGCCCACAATCATCTTGCATCTTAACAATGCTAATTAAATCATACCACAGATTAGGGAAGAAGCAAATCTGGCCGCAACTAATCATTTGCCAATTCAGGCCTTATCATCACCCACCCACAACTCCTGAATATAATTCATTATAATAGGTGACGCAGGTTGCTGATGAAAGAGAAAGATTTGTACTTAATAATACTGCCAACTAATTTAATACATAATTCCTCAAGAGAAGGATGATGGATAAGAGTGCTCATAGACAGCTCACCGCCACAACTTCTACTTGGACTCTGCCAAGCAAACCTCAAATGACCGCCTATTCCTCACACCAACCATATTCACTCCTCCCAACATCAACTCCTTACAACATGTACATACTATGCCTCAGAAATGAGTTGAGTTGTCAGAAAAAAATTAGGCAAAATATGCTTTACTTGGGTAAGTGTGGGTTTTTTTTAAACCACGAGAGGCTATCGTCTAGGCCAAGACATAAGCTCACTTGTTCACCGCCTTATGCCATACTTGGCAAAGGAATAAGAGCAAACAACTGAAGATGACACCAATCAGGTTGCAACCACGAACAGCACGCTTATAATTTATGGAATCGGAGGGTTGAGATGGAATTAGCAGCAACTGAAATAGAAGGTTATCAACCCAATAATACTACCAACCAACACTATAAACAACCATCACCAGCAACCCACTATTACTTGAACCCCAGCAAACAATCCCCTCCAAATCATCTTCTATTCTCCATAATTAACATCACCCAAAATGAAAAGCCTACACAATAAAATGAAAAAATTGAGATAAAATTGCACCAAGGCCCACAACATATGTTGATAAAAAAAAATAATTTTTCCCCCAAAAAAACTTTCCTATAGTGGAATTTCTAATTGTAATTTCAGCTAGACTGACAGACAGTTTCACTAAATGCAATCAATGGTTTGTCATGAACAAGCTAAAAACAACTTGGGAGAGGCCGAGTAGCTATAATTTGTTTCATTTATTAGTTGAAATCTCAAATCCACTTATGATCTACAATGACATCCTAAGAAAAAGCCAGCTATATTCTTTGTTATTTTCTAAGCCATCAATACGATTTGTCTTTCATATTTCATCTTCCCGATGCGCCTATCATAATCTCTCGAACTATATAAGAGATGATACAGTACATGGAACTCCTTAATGGGCAATCGAGCTTAGAAAAAGCATCATATTTGCATTCTAATACATGCATATCATATAGCAAGGTTACCTCCTAATTTGTAACCTCTAATAATTAACAGTAGGGTAGTTCTGCATAAAGCTGCTTATTATAACAGGCATAGAACTTATAAGACCACTAAAGGTGGTCTGACAGTTCAACAAAACATTGTCTAAAACTTCACAATTCTGGAAATCGTTTCTAGCTCCAAAAAGATTGGCATATCTCTGATAGGTAAAAGACATCACCATCTAAATATAGCAATGAAAATAAAAATGTTTTGTTGAACTACAAAGAACGATTGAACAATTTCCAATAACTTCTACATAGAAGACTTCTAAAAAAGAATGTATATAGCCAGTTACCTCAATTCATTCAGCTCCAAAGTGAGATCACTAATTTCCATTCCTGACAATCTGATTGCAGCCATAGTACTAGGAAGCTCCTCCCTTGCTGAATCAGCCAGCCTAGCAAGAGATGTTGCAGCCCTCTTCAGTGCCTATAGAGTGAAGTAATTATAGACTGACCATCCAATTTTAACAAATTCAAACAATACTCAAAATAAACAAAACCGGCAACAAATAATAAGAAATTTCAAAGTACTGCGCTCAATATAGTGTTTCTACTGCGCACAAATAAATCCCAACATGTTCTCATCAAATTTTCAACAAAAAACTGCTGACCAGTCATAAATTCAAATTTTAAGAATTTTAGAAATCTTGAAATAGCTTTTCTATTATAGTATTTGCTTCCCAAAAAATGAAGTGATATGCATTTGCATATAATTTCAATAGTTTAAGATGAATTTTATTCAATGAAAACAAACACTTGTTTTTTTTTTTTTTAATTTCTGCATGCTTTTAGTTTATTTGGGCAGGGGCATGAAGGAAGGGCTGTCAATAGCCAAATTGCAGCAGAAACTGAAGGACATGAGCATCAGGTGAAAAAGGATGTTTCCAATAAAGGGCTCAAGAAGAATTTAATGAATGCAATGACACAACCTTACCCCTACTTTCACTAAGAAGTTGTTTAAATATTTGAAGCAATGACAGCCATATAAAACGAGAGTAAACTAACAAATTAGACGCATATATGTCCTTAAAATCCTGCAAATAGGCTTATCATGAATGACAACACTTGTTTTTTTTTTT